AGCATAATTACACAGTTAGGCTTCGTGTCTTTGTACACATCGCTTCCTGACAAAGATGTCCCAGTTAGCCTGCAGCCATGTGTTGGAGGAGGGGATGATCATTCTGATTCTGTCTACCTTTCCCCTGCCCTTTCCTGCCTCTCTCTGGTGACCCTTTGGGGTGGGTAGACTGAGTCAGGCTCCTGGAGGCTAGGAAAGGGACAGGGAGGCCTTCTGAATGTGGGGTCCTCACAGTGTCCCTGAAGGGGAGTCACCGGCGCCGTCCCCTGAGGAGAGACCAGTGCCCAGGAGGTCCCGGCACTTGACGGAGTGCTCTCTTGCCTGTGCCAGTTGGAGTGGCCTTGGGACCAGGGTCTGTGGTTGCACAGCTGACCCTTCTCCCCACAGGATGCCTGCCTGGGTTGTCAGAATGCCCCGGGTAGAGCCACCTGCGAGGGACGGAGGAAAGTGCTTCCCAGGGGGCTGGGCCGGGACGGGGAGCAGGTTTTCAACCTGATGGTGACTCTCTCTGGGACGGGTTCACTCTTGCAGGGAGGGTGAGTTCAGGGGTGTGGTCCTTGGGGGATGCAGTGCACCCCACTGTGGAGGCTTCCACCAGTGGCACTTCATATCCCTGCACGCCCATCCCTGTCCCAGCAGAGGCAGGGGCTAACTCTGCAGAGGAAGTGCCACCGAGGAGGGCCTGTCTGCAATGAAGCCTCCACAGGGACAAGTGGGCCAGGAGACGTGATGGGGGTCTTCCAGGCACGGGAAGGAACAGGGCAAGGAACTGAGCAAGGGCCAGATGCGTCGTGTTGCTGGAAGTGAGTACAGGAGCAGGGGAGGGCACTGTCCTGTGTGTGGTGGCTGCGGACCGTGCCCAGGCAGCACGCTGTGGTTCCTTATCTGGGACAGGTGCTTTGAAAGGTCCCTTCCTGTTCTGACACTCTGCGATTCCATGTTTAAAGTATACTTGAATGTTTATGGTCGTGTTTGTACACCTTGATCTGGGATGTGTCATTGTTGATTCCCTTTGGCCCAGTGATTCCGCTTTGGAAAAAATATTTCTGAAGGAAATAGGTACATAAACAAGGATGTTCATTACAGCATTGTTTATATCATGAGGAAAAATCGGGAATAACCTAAAGATCCAACAATAGGGGATTCACTGTGTAAACTGTGTTACAACCTCACAATAGGTTTTTAGACAGTAATTGAAAGGATGTTTATGATGACTTGATAAAAGCACAGGGAAATGGCTATGTCATAATGTCACGGGGGTGATGGGATATAAATTATGCATTTAGTCACAATTAGGAAAACACAGTTTCACAGAGTAAGAGATATACAATTATAAAACTGTAAGGGATTCAACAAATGATTTACTTTTCTAATAATAAAAGATATACTTTATTAACCATATTTTTAAAAATTAGAATGCAAAACAACTGTAGCAAAAAACAACAAAAATTACAGTGCAAGGGCCAGATGACTTCTTCTCCTCTCTGGGCAGGCTGAGGCTGGTCTGTGACTTAAGTGCTTGGGAAGGGACAGCTATGTGAGGACGTCCTTGAGTCTGTGGGGCTGGTGGAGTGGGAGGACCTCAGAGCAGTGGGTTGGCTCCTTAGTGATTTCTACTCCCCAGAGGCTCTGACTGAAGCACCCAGTCAAACTGAGTCCCGGGATCTGTCAGGAGCAGCTGGGTGATGGCATGAAGAACAAGGTCCTGAGTCCCTCTGTCCAGGGTTTTGCAAAACGTGAAAATGGCCTGATTTCTGCCTTGAATCTCCTTGGGAAATGGAGGCTGAGTGGTCATGAGCTGGTCTAGGTTTTAGGCTCAAATACTGATTCTATTTCTTATTCTTTCTGGATTTGGGGTTTCCTGAGTCAACAGTGGAGGTATCACACGGCCCAGGAGGCAGGCCTGCAGGAGGTTCAAGGCCGTCCTGTCTGCAGAGAGGCTGGTGCAGGGAGGGCTCTGCTCGGCGAGCTCCTGTCTGTGGGGATCTTCTCAGAAAAGCAGGGCCGGGATCTAGCGGCTTCCTCCTTTGAGGGTGAGGTGTATCCCTCACTGTGAGTCGGAGCTGTGACGATCCAGGTTTTAAATTGGCCAGTGTGGTTAATGACATGGCATAGCAGGCAGTTCTCAATGTGTGAGCAAGCACTAAATTAGTCCCACAAAGGAGATGGCTTCACCGCCCGCCTGCACTGGTACCAATGAGAATGCCCCTCTCCCCAGGACAAAGCAGGTGGCCGACGGCTCGGTGCACACACGGAGGGCTGGTGTGTGATCTAAGAAGGGGCGGCAGAAGGGGTGGCAGTCCCACTTCTTCAGGGGTGAGCATGGATCCTGGCTCTGCTCTCTGGCCCGGGGCTCTGGTCTTCCACCTGCTCAGCACCAGCTCAGTGAGCACTTTAGATTCCTTGACTGCAAGCAAAACCTTCCTGTTGTCACTAGATGAGGATTTCACAAAGGTGAGTGATACCTGTTTTTTGGCCAGATGGCTCAGAGAAACCCTGGGAGGCCCAAGATGAGCTTGGAAGCTTAAATGCCCAGGATTTGGGGGGGTCACAGAGAGACTGCCTCATCCAGAAAGACTAACCTAATTAGTGCCTGCTCTTCCACCAGGACAGCCCCAAGTCTGCAGGACCTTGAAAGCCCTTAGGCTCCATGATCCCTTTTTCTAAGGTAGACTTCTTGGCGAGGTCACGTCCTCGGCCATTACCGGTAACTGTTGCTCGGTCAAGTTAGTAGGAAGGAATAAGATAGGGTAGGGTGCTGGCTGGCTTCTGCGAAGTCCAGCTGAACCAAAGTAAACCCAGACAGGAGGAGGACAGGGGTGACACCACAGAACAGCCTCTCTGGTCCCCTGGGATTTAGGTTTCATTTGAGTGTAGTTTTAAGTCTAAGTTGTGATTATATGTAAGGTTCCGAGAACTAGGAGACCATCTCAAATGAGGCTGGGGCTGGGAGAAACAGTGAGACAGGAAATAACACGCTGATGCGGGATGCCCAGGAGGGGACCCCGAGGCTCAGCTCTCCATCCAGGAAATGAGAAGTGGCTGAGGTGACCTCCAGAGTCACTTCCAACTCCCAGCACTTGCTGTCCGTTCTTGGAGTCCAACTCCTGGGCGGGGAGTGGTGGTGACTCATCATGGCAGATAGGATCTGGCTCTTTTGCCTGCCTGGTCACTGAAAGCTGGCTTCCGCCCGCTGCCATGGAGAAGCAGCTTCCAATATGCTGGTCTTTCATCGATGCCTAAGCGTTGGGTTGTTGTGGAGTCAGAATTGAAGGAGAAAACCAACCCAAACTGCTGCAAAATCAGATTGACGACCAAGGGACTATTCACACATTCCCTGCGATGCCGTCATGAAGTTCCCCATCCCCCTGTCTCGCGCAGGCACCATAACTATGAAAAGGACCCTTGAACACCTGGGCCATGGTTTTGGAGATGGAGCTCCCCAGGCCCAGGGCTAAGGAACCAACTTCCCAACGCAGTCACAGGAGGACTTGGAGAGACTGGCGGATGGCTCCGCGGTAGAACACTGTGCAGCCTGTGTGCGGCCCTGGGTTCCTTCCCCAACACCGTGGGGGACTAGTTATTGAGACAAGTCACCAGGTCCCCGTTTCCTTGACCTCTAGACCTGGGTTCATCTCCGTGTGCCCTGTGCCACCCGGTGTCTGATCACACCCCCAGGCAGGGCTCGCTGGCGTTTCCTGACTCATGTGTACAATTGTGAGGATTTATTGTAGCTGGGATTTTGTTTCAAGCCTTTAATATGATTAGCAAACATCAAATATCAAAAGCTTATCTAGTAAACACCTCCCGTCTGTGCCATGGATGTTATGGTCAGCTTCGGATTGAAGTCGAGTCACATTTCAAAACAGATGCAATTTCAAGGGGCCAGAGCGAAGCCGCCCACATCTGCTGTGATCTTTCGTGTGCAGTAAATGGCATTGTCGGGGAGCTGGGCTGTAAAACTCGGCCTGGTCAGCAGGACCTGCTCACAATGCAGGGAGCTTTCCGGGATTTTAAAAATGCAGCCTCGCACTCTGAGTCCCGCGGGCCGTCTGCCGGGACAGCAGCAGGTCGGCTGTTTAAGACTGGGATGTTCAAACCAAGCATTTGTTATCTTTGACCTAAATTCAAGGGATGCTTTTTGGGGTGGCGGGGCTTCCAGGAACGACTCTGACAGGAGAAGAGAAAAGAGACGCCCAGGCACATTGCAAAGGAAGAGCATGAAGCACCCTCAATCCCACCCTTTAAGCAAAGGAGGCAGTTTCATTCAGAGATTTAAAACAAAACAAAACAAAACAAAAGTCTTGTTCTCTTTGGAGTAAGAGTGAAGAAGGAACCTTACTTAACAATTAGCGGTGGGTCCCTCGGATTCAGGGTGGTTATGGCTAACCATGGTGCATATTCTTGCATGTGTCAGGACCAGAGGCTGGGCTCTGCCTGGTGCCACTGAGCGCTCCAGCTCGTCTTTGGGGATGCCGGGCCTGTGTCTGTGTGGGTGTGTGAGCACATGGGAGCTGGGAGGTGTGTGAGAGTTTGCAATTCTGAGTGATTCTGATCATCGCAGCTCGGTCACCCCCATTCTCTTGCTGCTTTGCTCTTCCTGCTGTTCACATGGGAGGCAGGGGACATTCTATCTGGGGGGCTAATGTTTCTCTGGGCGCCACAGCCCATGGATTTGAGTGACCCGTTCCAGCTGTTTCTGGCAGCAGTTCCAAAGCTGGCGGTCGCCCGGCGGGTGGTAGGGTGGGTTACACCATGGAGAATGCGTTCCTAATGGGGCAACAGCTGCTACCATCCAGAGCTCCAGGAGTTGGTGTAATGAGAGAAATTGTTCTCTGCTGCTGGCTCTGGCAGATTTCATCCATAAATGAAGATTTGCAGCTTCCAACAGGGGAGGCATTTGTTTGGTTAGATTTTTAGAACCTGGTGAGGAGTTGGGGCTGCCCGGTGAGGAAGTCACCAAGTGTTGCTTGCAGAAGGCTGCTTCCTCTGTGTTCCAGCTAGGGCTCATCTGGGTCATCTAGACCCTGCCCACGGCCTGCATTGATACCGAAGATCCTGGACCCCTGGATTTCCCAGGATGGAGCCCATTCCGGGTGCCGCAGCATCATGGAGGGTAAGTCCAGAGAGGGGGCAGAGGAGTCAGGATGGGACTGGAGGGAAGGAGAGGGAAGGGGTGTCATCCTATTGCACCGGGCAGTGGTCCAGGTTACTGACGTCACTGCCACACCAGTCATTCCTGATTCCTGTCCACTGAGGATCTTTTGAATTTTTGTTTTATTTTTCCTCCCACTTAGTGTTTAACTTTTATGAAAGTCACAAATGCATCCTATTTGAAAAATTGGGCAAGTCTTCTTATGAAAAGTGACATCCCCCCCACTCTCCCTCCCTATTTCCTTTTCCCCAGAGGCAACAGCTTTCAGCTCTGAGTTGACTCCTGTCAATTTCCTCCATCTCCTTTAACAGCGCAGTGCTTCTTTTCTTTTTTTTTTTTTTTTGATGGTGCTGGGGATTGAACCCAGGGCCCTTTTGCATGCATGCGAGGCTAGCACTCTACCGACTGAGCTAGATCCCCAGCCCCCAGCACAGTGCTTCTTGATTGGACAGTTTTAAGAACAATCCGCTGACTTTCCAATATGCAAGATGGAAATGCTTCTCTGACTGTCCCCCACCATTAGCACCACATGAGGAACAGTGCCAGAGGCCCGGCCGTTTGCGGCATCTCAGACACTGCTCCGGCCTGAGGTTGGTCTGGTCTCTCTACTGTACATACCTGTTGGCCTGGTGGGTACCAGTTGTCTTTCCACTATCCACAGAGCTTCCCGGTGGTAAAACTCCTGTTCACCTACGACATAGCTAAGTGACTCAGAGACGTGTCCACACCCCTAGAGATGAAAGCATTTTACCCGTTGCAGTAAATTTCTTGTGACATAAACACTGCGTTCCTCTTATGAGTGGCCCTCACAACTTAGGGATACGGACCAGGGAAGCAGATGCCAAAAATAGAATATGAAACCGAAATACTCCAACTATTTCTTACCAAATTGTAGGAGATGTGGAGTTTGAAGGCTGAAATCATCCATGTAAATGTTGCTGGGTGCATGCAGACTCCAAAGCAGTAAGATGTACCCTGGAAGAGAGGCCCCATTCTGCCCCTTGCAGCACTGTGAAGGAGAAACCTAGCTGGGATTAGAAAGAGTCCCTGGAGCTCAGGAGACCCAGGAGAGGTGTTCAGGGGGCACATAAATAATGGAGGAGCCATGGCAAATGCATTTGAAGCAAGCCATCTGTCCCCACTGCAGAACAGAGCCATGAAAATATGATTCTCTCCTCAAGGTCCCAGCACAGGAGAGGGCCTGTTTGCCCTGGGAGGAGCATTGTGCATGGCACAGAAGCAAGTGCCTGGACATCATTATCTTCAGTAAAGGAAACAGCTCATTTTGCAGATGAGGAAACTGAGACCCCAAGAATGAAAGTGACACGCTTCGGTCATTCAGCAGATCAATGGCAGAGCTGGAAGAGAGACTTGGAGCCCATGTCTCCCCTGCCCTCCCTCTCGTGTGTTGATGTATGGAACACCACTCATGCCAGGCCTTGGGTTAGGCCCTAAGGATTAAAAAGAAGACCCTCCTGAACCTGAGGTGCCTAGAGTCTTTTTTGGGAGGACATGAGTGAAAAAAAAAATTACAGAATTCAGGAGCCCAATGCGAGGGGACAGACTTACGCAGGGAAACTTGTGAAGTCAGAGAAGGGGTTAATTTGTATTGGGAATCAAGGAAGTCTTCCCACAGAAAGTGACAGCTGAGCTAGATCCTGAAGGATGAAGGAGCCTCCGCCCAGAAGAACATGGTCTGACTTTCCTTAGGTGCTCTCTGGGCAGAACAGGCAGGGGCAACTGGAGGGAGGAGTCTGGAGGCAGGGAGGCCAGGAGGAGGCTTTTGCTCAAGTGAGAGAAGACCTAGTCTTGAAGGAGCAGGACAGTGGTAGGGGAGAGTGGAGGGAAGGAAGACTGAGAAATACTTTGATACTAGAACTGACACAACCTGGCAGTTGGCTAAAGAGGGGGTGTGGGGGGTGTCTAGGCCGACTTCCAGCTCCCTGGCTTAGTGATTTGGCTGGGTGCTGATGCCATTTGTGAACAAAATAGTTGACAAAAGCTTTTGGAGGAAAGAGGCTGCGTTGGGGTCTGAACTTGTAGCATTTGATAAGTGAAGAATCGAAGCGGAGACGTCCAGTGGGCAGTTGAACTAGAGTCATAAACACAGAAGAGAGGCCTGGAAGGGAGAGTCAGGGGTTCAGGTAGTTGTTGAAGCCACAGAAGAGGAATGATGTAGGCTCAGGGTATCGGCTCAGAGGGCTGAAGGCAGAACTCCGAGGACTACCCACAGGTACAAGATGGCACACGAAGGAGTCTCAAAGGAGGAATTCCTCTCAAAGAGAGGACATGGAGTTAGGAAGGAGGTGATGGCCAATGTGGTTAATGCGGCAGAAAAGTCTAAAAAGGAAAGGCTGATGAGCCCATTGGTGAGGCAGGGTGGTCTTACTGACTTCAGTGAGGCTGGGGCGAAGGGAATGGTGGGTGCCAGAATTCAATAGTGTGATGCTCGAGTTTGGGACCCCCAAAAGACCACCAGAGACCAAGATCGATGTAAACAGCAAAGAGGTGTTTATTGCGAGCTAGCTCGGTCCTCTGCACACACAGCAACTGGTGACGCTGAGAGGCCCCGAGCCCAGGGTTTGCAGCAGTTTTATACACTCTTTGGGAAGGCAGGGACTTCACATACATCATAGCATCTCTTAGCAAATCATCACACACTGCGGGAAAATCATAAAACAACTCTAAAACATGAGTAGCACATTCACTGGCGGGAACAAGTTGGGTAAGGGTGATTGGTTAGTACAAGAGGGGATTCGTTTGAACTGATTGGTTTAAGCCACGAGGGGAGTAAGTGCTGAACTACATGGTTTCCCAACACGTTATCAACCACCATAAACTACTGGGGGGTCATCTGGCATCCCAGGTATTTTCCCTGTCTCATGCTGATGGGTGGTTGCTAGGGGAGTTGCTATGGGTCCCCACCTAGCCTGACTGAGTCAGGGACACCTGGCTCCGCAGATCTCTCCTGTTATTTGTACACAAACCACTCAGCAGGGTGGGTATGTGCCTAGGAGTGCTCTGTGGGTCTTTCCAAGGACAAGGGTCACGCCCTCTTCCTTGGACAGGCTTTGCTCTGAGGTAGAGGCTGGTTTCTCAGTAGAGCAGGACCCTTTGGACAACAGACTTCCACATCCAATGAGGACTCTCTCTGGCTTTGGGATGAGCAAAGGACACCAGCCCTGCAATCCCAGCTTGATGAATTCATTCCAACCCAGCGAGGGACAAGGCTACTCCTTTGGGGAGGGAAGAGGGCCCTTTCCTGCTTCCTGCTTTGAGCATTTATAAACATCTGGTGCATAATGCTTGCTGCTACTTTAGGTGGAGATCAACCAGAATGAGATATTGCAGAATCAGAATTCAAAGGTAAGGTACAGCAGAGGCTGTGAGCTCTCCAACATGGCCTATGGGAAGTCTAATTTGTATAGTTTTATGTCTTTTCTTTAGTAAAGCAATTGGCAAATCTTCATTATAGGTTCTCCAAACCTTGTCTTGGATGAGTTGCTCACATTTATTTTTTGGATGGGAACATAAATGATATAGATTCCAAAAAGACCTGGGGATGGGCTTATGTTCTGAGGATTTCTGCTTGTTTACGTAATAAGACATTTAGGAACCAGGTAGATAAAGGACGTGTGTTTCCCACAGATTGTTTCCAGATTTTCACTCATTTAATAGTTTCCTGTAGTTTCCATGGTGGGAAGGGGGAAGGGTAGTGGTGGTGATGGTTGGGGAGCCAGTCCTGAGTGACCGAATGGAACTTGAAGCCTTGTCATTAAACCTCTGCTCCCCCTCCCACCTTTCCAAAAAGGACTGGAGACGGTGTGCAGTATTCATGCCAATAAATCAGAACCATGAAAGAAGGAAAACCAAAGAGAGGTGAGAATCTCCTAGGTAGGGGAGAAAGAATAAACATAACAGGTAACTGGTGCTGAACTACCTGGTTTCCCAACATGTTATCAACCACCATACACTACTGGTGGCCCCTTCAGGTAGGGACTTGATCTCAAGGCAAGAAGGAGACAGGTGAACAAGACTAAATTCTGGATCTTTTGCCTATTTTTCTGTCTGTAGCCTTTCATTTATAATAATAGATGATTTTTTAAGTGGCATTGATTTTCATTAAACTCAATAAAAATGGTCCAGTCTCACTGTTCAGAGACAGATACTGTGTTAGTTGGCCTGCAATAATTAATGTATAGAGAGAAAAGGTTTATTTTGTCTTGCTGTTCTGGAAGTTCTAGTCCACCATTGATTGGCCTCATGTTTGGGCCTGAGGTGTAGCAGCACATCCTGGCAGGAGTATGTGGCCGAGCAGACCTGTTCACAACACAAGCCAGAAGCAAAGAGATGGGGCAAGAGATTGGGGTACACTAATCTCCTTTCAGGGTGTTCCTTTAAAGACCTAAGCTTCTCCCACAAGATCCACTTCCTACAGGCTCCATCCCATCCCAAGAGTGTACCCTGGGAACCAAACCTTCACATGGAGACCTTTGGTAAGCATTCCAGATCCAAGCTATGGCAGGTACTGTCAAAGTTCCACAGCACAAACAGAGTTGCACAGTTTATAGATCAAATATCAAAAACAGTTCCCATGTCATTAGGGATTTTTCTGTGAATGTCCTTTTTAAGAAATCAGATATTGGGTAAAAACATAACAGTCTTACCTAGAAGACCAGCTGTATTTTCTTTTTCCAGGTAAAATCTATTAAAGCCATGCACCTCAGCTTGGACTTTTGAGGGAACACAAACTCAGAAAAATTGACTGGTTCTGAGAGCTTGGCAGTACTTCCCATGTGAAGTGTTTAGGTTTGATGGTGACCTGTAGTTTCTGAATTCTCCAGAGTGGCTTCCATGACTTGGATACTTTTTGCCTCTGAAGAGTCTGAGGACAATGTCTCACACAGCTGCGTTTCTAAAGGCACCAGCATCAGTGCAGAGCCTCCAAAGGATTTTGGGGGACTTTAGAATTGCCAGCATAAAACCAATGCTTATGAGACTAACAAACTGGGAAAGAGGAAGAAAGCATGTTCAGAAAAATGACCTTGGGTGATGGCCATGCCCTCAAAGTGCCTTCTGAGTCATCAAAGAAAGATTGAATTACCGCTGGGATGGTTATAACACAGATGTCTGGGTGTCTTGAAAATTAATCATTTGAGGATAAATATTTTATTATTTATTTATGCTCTGCACTTTGCTGACTTCAAAAATGAACCAGAGATAGCATGCCATTCATGTGTTTGTGTATACATATATAACATCTTACTTGTCGATTTTGTTAAACTGTACATGGTTTAACATCAACAACAAAATCTCTATCCCTCTATCCCTCTCCGTCTCCTAATTTTACTCCTTAAAAGAAACAAATATCAGCACTTTAAGCTATCTGTCATATAATTTATTTCCAGTTTTTATATTTATATAATTATTTTCATTAATGCTGGGTATAATCCATAAACTGACTGTTGGTGCTCCTCTGATTGATTGGCACATGGTACTCACCTGAAGTGGGATCTTATAGAATCACAGTTTAGAAAAGAGAGTGTAACCTTCCAGAGACTTTAGTAAACCTATATCCTGTAACTGTGCTCTCTTCCTCTCTTTGTAGCTGCCTAATAAGATTACATCACAATTTGAAGTTAATTGATAGTTGGTGTTTGCATTTTTATTATGAAAGTATTGTTCACTGAAAAACCACGTTCTTTATTCAGAATACTTTCAGGGCTGGGGATGTAGCACAGTAGAGCACGTGTCTAACATGAGCAGGCCCTTGACTCTATCTCCTGCATAGCAGGAAGAACAAACAAACAAAAATAATATTCTTCTTGTTTTAAACCATGTTTATGTTTCTTCTGGACTGACTATTTTCCTCATTTCCCCATTTGTTTGCATATTTTATGTAAATATTCCTATTTTTCTTAATCTTTAAGATTGGTTAATAGTACTTTTGCAAGTGCCTCTATGAAGTCGATAAACTATCAGTTGCGTTTTTCCTGTGAAACTCCCCCCCACACACACACAGCTCTCAGACTTCCGCTCCAGTTTGGCCTGACTTGTAAGTTTGTCACTTACTAATTCCTGATGTCACCCTAGGTGTGACAGACTGCATGTTAAAAGAGTGAATTGTCTCTTCTTGGATGAGGATTGTATTTCTGTGTCCCACTGATTTCTGGCTTCCTACTGTAATTTACTTTGGCTAATGAAATGTGAATAGAAGTGGTGTGTGTGTGTGTGAGAATCATATCTGCGAGAAATTTTAGGGTCAGAGTGAGGCCTGCTATGATCTCGTCTATTCTCTGCCAGGGTGACTGTCAACATTTCAGGTAGAAAATGTGAAATTAAGTCAGAATTAAAGACCTCTTGGAGCAGATCCACATCCAACCCACAAAAGGAATGTCACAAGAAGTAAACCTTGGTAGCTGTCTTGTCCAGGATATGGAGCTTATCACTGTGGCCTGAATGTTGTGCCCCCTGACCCCA